ATTAGCAGTAGCACACTCCACACTAATCCTCCTACTACACAGTTTCGAAATAAGCCCCTCCTACCTTCTTGGTTCTACCAGCTCCAGTTGTAACTTGGTCACGGTTTCCTTGTCCCACTGATTCTATTTCTGCAGTTGGCTGATGTTAATCCGTTTCTGCTTACTTCCTCTTTTGATGGTATAAACGGGACCACATCTCTCGATGACAGTGTATGGCCCTTCCCACTTCGAGAGGAGGAGTTTCTATGAACCTGGATCAGATCTAACCGCGTACTTTCTTTCCCAACACTTCACTTGATCACCGACCACAAAGGTTATGCATCCCAACTTTTCTCCCTGTTCGGATTTCACGTCATCTTTACGCTCTACATTACTGACAGCTTCTTTCCGTTCTGTTCACGGTCTCGTCATATTCCACCCGTGGTGGAATTCCAACCGCTGGCATAAGACTGACTGGGTGGGAATAGAATTATTCAAAATCAAACAAAAACATGGAGTCACTCCGTGCATTCTTTTACTGTTGCTTTTAGCCAGCCATTTAGGGATGTGTAAACTGCCTAACTGGCTTGTTGAGGTCCTCAAGATGCTAAGAATCAATGGCTTAGGACTGTCAGCAATATGACTGAAAATCGTTCATAATGTTATCACTCGTTTTGATTACACCATCATGTTTTTTCATAAAACTTTTCTTTCTCGAGTGCATTAATAGTCATTGTAGTTCTTTGACTAATGTCGCACAAATTCGAAGACATCCAGCTGAAATTCCAACAAGTTAGTAGAATAGGCGGACAGCGTAGATAGGACTTCATTTGAACATAGAGAAGACGCGGGCAGTGAGAATAACCAACCGACCACAACAGCAACAGGCACCAATCAATATCAGAGGGAGAAAATTGTAAGAGGTCACACTAACTTCACTTATCTAGAAAGTATCATTTCAGCTACAGCCGGCACAGATGAAGATATCAAAATCAGTCAGAAACAGGAAGGCAAGAAAGACACTCACCACTCTGAAATCCATTTGGAAATCTTCCGCATTAATTCAGCACAAAGAAAGGAAGTCAGTCAGTCAATCCTTCTATATGGGTTGTTAAACAGTTAGGGAGTCAAAGGGATTGACCATTTCATTGGATAATTCAATCAATACTCTTGAGAAAAGAGTTCTAAAGTCTGTTTTTTTGCGGGGGTGGTAGAATCGAAGTTTAACTAGGAAGAGTATAACAATGCAATGGGCTACGTAACTCCAATAGAAATGTTCTCATGAGATGGAAAAATAGGATTTTCGGCAAGTCAGTAGGTACATGTTAGGACCGAAACTAGCTTGTTGTAATCTGAGTGAAGGGAGCCAATCTTTGCATTGAACTGTATAGCAGTCCCAGATATCCTTCAGACAAGCCTAGTCACCAAACGCTTCAAAGACAGGAAATAGACGATCATTCGTTAGTGGAGTCTGTGACTCAATTCAACAATTATTATAACATCAGAAATCCAAGATGACCACCTAGAAGCAAACAGAATTTTCCCAAAGCAGGGGGAGTTAATCTTCTGTCGACAAGAATCACACATCAACATCAATCTTCCCTCACACTACATGTTCAGAAATGACGTCGATTCGCTTACACAAAATCGCATTGTGAAAACAACACATTATCACAATGTATCTCACAACCACAATGAGAAGTATTCAAATTAGAGATTAGTCAGTGAGAAGGAGAAATCAGTAAGGATTGATTCAACCTGTGATATTAGGAGGAATCAGAGGAACAGATTACATCAAACAAGAAGGGAATATTTTTGTCAGTAAACAGAGTCTTACAAGGAGAAATGAATAATCTTGAACCAGATCTCACTGTGATCTCTTTACGAAGATAGAAGAGATCTGTAGAACAGCTTGAATACTGACAGAATTTGGAGTAACAAAGCGGTATACTGGTGACTGATACAAGTAACTGGGTACAGGAAGATTTTAGCAAACACTTTCTCCACGTATGAGGACACATACTCATGGATGAAACTGGCTTGTGGTTACACTAGATTAATGCGACTTCACAGAAATTGGACGAAGGAGAAGAATATTGTACAAGATTTGGATTTCTCTGGTGATATATGTCTAATGAAAGATAAACTTGTAGACCTTCATCAGTTGAAAACCAACAGGTTAGTAGATGAGAAAGATGGTGCAGGCAACACTTCAATTGAACATAAGGAAGATGCAGGTGATGTAGATAACCAACCAACCACAATTGTGACGACAGACACCGATCATTATGAAAGGGAGAGATTTGTAAGGGTTTACTATCTTTGCTTATCCTACGAGTATCGTTTCAGCTACAACAGGCACCAATGAAGATGTCAAAAACAGGCAGAATCGCAAAAGGCAAGACAGACACTCACCACTCTGAAATCCGTTTAAAAAAGTCTTCTGCACTGACTCAGCACAAAGAAAGGAATCGGGATTTCCGACACCAATGTGAAGTCAGTCAGTCAGTCAGTCAATCTTCCTATATAGGTTGTCAAATACTTAGGAGTTAAAAGGATTGACTATTTCACTGGATAATTGATACAGTACTCTTGAAAAAGAGTTCAAAAGTCCGATTTTTTTGGAGGCGGGGGGGTTGGTATAAACGAAGTTTAAATTGAAAGAGTATAACAATGCAATAGGTTAAGTACCTGCAACAAAAATGTTCTCATAAAATGCAAAATAAGGTTCACGGCAAGTTGGTAGGTACATGTTACAGTAAAAACCGACTTTATCCTCCTACTATATAGCTATTCCAAAACTTCTTTCAGACACGCACAGTTACAAAACACTTTAAAGACAGGAAATAGACGATCATTCGCCCCTAAAATCTCTGGTTCAATTCAACAATAATAAAAAATATCGAAAATTCAAAACGATCACCTAGAACCAAGCAGAATATCCCCAACATGATGGGATCAAATTTCTGTCGACAAGAATCACACACCAACATTAATCTCCCCTAACACTACAAGTTCGAAAGTGAAGCTGATTCGCTCAAATGAAATCACATCTTGAAAACAACACATTATCCCAATATATCTCAAAACCACAATGAGAAAAATTCAAATATGAGATTAAACAGTTAGAAGGACAAATAACAGGGATCGAGTCAACCTGTGAATCAGAGAAATAGATAAGTTCAAAGTAGCGAGGGAATCCTTACACGGAGAAATGAATGATTTTAAGCCAGATTTCACCATGACCTCCTTACGTGGTTAGAAGAGATCTACAGTACGGCATAAATATTGACAGTAATTTGAACAACAAAGCGCTATACCGACGACTGATATACGTAACTCTAGCAGACACTTGCTTCATGTGTGAAGACACATACTTGCTCTCGAAATCGGCTTGTGGTCATGCTAGATTATTTCGAATTAACAGAAATTAGGAGGAAAAGAAGGATACACTACAAGATCTGAACTTCGTGGATAATATCTGTCTAATGCCACATAAATCTGAAGAAGTCCATGTGAAAATAAACAAGTTAGTAGAAGAGGTAGACAGCGTAGACAGGACTTCAGTTGAACATAAAGAAGACAGAGATGATGAAACACACACAGTCACCTAAAAACTAACACCAATTCCTATCGGTAGAAAGAATTTGAAATAGGCCATTTGCTTGACTTATCTAGAAAGCATTGTTTCAACTAAATGCGGACGGCGCGCATTAGGTTATCGAAGCCAGCCAGCATGGAAAAGACAAAACGGACCTAAATTTCTGTGGAATAAATTTAGATATCTTCTGCACACCGCAGTATTCAGGAAAATATTCGGATTATCAGCGCCAATGTTAAGTTATTCAGTTCTCCTAACTAAGTTACACTTAGCCTATCAAGCTTGGTGATGAAATGGCTTCATACTGGACAGTTTTCTCTAGTGTAGATCAAATAGCCAAAAAGAATTATTAACAAGAAATTCTGCAGTGGAACAAACTAAGAGATGACAGCCGACTGCTCAGCAAATATGTAGTAGGAGATGGACATGGATGGGATAGGTCGGGGATGTGCTGAAGATGCCGTCAAATAACACCGTGTACAACGCAGGTGATTGCTAGAGCGGAATCCGAATAGGAAGAGACGAGTGGGTGATCGGTGTGAGGGTGAAATGGTGCAGATTGTATGTTAGGGGGAATTCATGAAAGACTATGGGGGAGTTGTTGAGCCAGCCAGGTGAAGAGGATAGGAGAGAATAGAAGAGAGTGTAGATGTGTAGTTGAAGCCAAATGTTCCAGACGGAAACCGTTAGAATAACAATAATATCCTCATATATAGCAATCATACAGACGCTGGGCATCAGTATACTCGTTATAACAGAATTAATTAATAAACAGGTAAGCGGACGATTAATAAAAAATTCAAATTCAATTTATGCAGGAAGTAAGTAGTTCAGCTATTATTATCATCATTATATCACATAAACAAATTATTATTCAGTTAATTAACTACAACACATATTGAAAATTGAAACAAACACAATCCGGCTATCATTCATGCATAGCATGGATCACAATTAGACATAATTATATCACGTGATACTTAATAAAATCATACTATAACTTCCTCAAGATCATAATACATATATTGATCTATTTTTGATTAATGGGTAATGCGAAAATATGATTTTGTATAGTTGGCTTTTGTTAAACGTCGTTTGTAAATAACATTCTTGCCTATCAGAACATTTAGCCTACCAAGTTTAGTGATGAAATGACTTCATACTGGACAGTTGTTTCCGCCTTGTGTGAAACTCTTCAAAAGGATTCACCCTTGGTCTCAACGATTTGGGATAGAACCAACAATTTCCAAGTGACAAGACGATTTCATGGAATATTCGACCACTGGGATGGAATTCAATGAATTATGCTCTGTGTCCTCTATAAAACAACCCACCTATTTTGCGTTCGGAGTTGAAGATAAACTGCTTAATTTTGCGTCTTGTATGTGTATCTCCCATTTTGACTGCTGTAGAGCCAGTTGGTTACAGAGGCTGTAAAAATTCAGGTGTGTTTATCGTCGAATTTCTTAGCGCCATCCAGCGTGGTTAAGTGAAGGACAAACAAAATCCATTCATCATGCTTTCTACCTCATCTCGTGGATACAGGACACAAGATTGATGATGTTAACGAGGTGACATTCAAGGTTATCTACCGTATACCAAGTAAGCTTAATTTTATCTTAAGAATTCGTCTACTAAATATTACTGAGGCTGACTTTTGTGATCTACAATAAGAAGCCTGACTTGTGTCTGTATCCAAAAGAAGATGTTGGTTCGGATATATTGTCCTTACCTTGGCTATTTGGGTTTCAGTGATCCTCAATTTGTTGTTGAAATTTTTATTCATTATCTTTGTTATTCCTATTTCCCATTACATTTTTATGCCTATTATAGCTTTAGTGTCTTTCTTGAACTGTAGTTTCATTAATCTTACTTAACGAATCGATATTATTTGAAAAAACACCAATATTTTGATTGGACATTAGTAACTGGTGTGAAGTGTCTAGTCCATTCTTTGCTGCGGAGTGATTTTTCACAGTTAGTAAGGTGGCCACCAACAAGCTAGGTGGCTCGCGATCACAGTGCACATTGATTTGATGGTATTATATATATATATATATATATATATATATATATATATATATATATATATATTGGAGGTAATCATCAGGAAGCCTTGACTGACCTAGGTTTCTTGCTAGTTGGCACTCAGCAATCAGTCATCAAGGCGTATCTGCATCCTTGAAGGTACTCATATCTCTTCTGAGTTCAAGGCTTCCTGTGGCCGATTGCCTCCAACCATCTGATATCACCGAACACCAATATTGGTGATGACGATTATTCTACAATATTCTGTGTGCAGAAACTTAAAATTGTAGAGCTGAAATAGGGAATTGTAGACCCCGATACTCATGACTTCTCACTGGGCCCCCTACCTGTAGTCAATCATTCACTAAGGGGTCATAAAATTATTTTTAGCTGTTTGTTTGAAGTGGTTTGAATGAATCGCAGGTCTGATCATGATTGCTTGTTAAAAATCAATGATCTGACTCATCTGTCCAATATGAATGAATTGTTGGAATTCAGTTACCCTAGTGACTCATCTCTTAAGAACCCTTTTTTGTTTCTACTTTCATTAACTTATATTTTCAATCCACCCACACACCATTTTTTCTCTCTTTGATGTCCATAAGAGATAATCCATCTTGACTTTCTGAGTTCTACTCACCTGATTACATCATCTTTTTTTATCTCCTCACCTCGCGCACATAGGATTTTCATTTCCTCGTATCTTACTACATAATTATGACTAATTTTTTGTTAGCGTCCTAACAACAGTTTTTTTCGAGAAATTTCTCTCTAACAAGTTAGATATGTGCAAACCAAGTTCACTTTTAACAGTTGGAAAAAATTTGGGCATTGGGTATATGATATTCATTATAATAAAGAGGCTTTTTTTGTATTTCCCAATGAATGAAAAACAAAACGATATTGTCGTTGTTTTTACTGACGTTTCGCTATTGAATGCTGTCGCTAATAGCTTTCTCAAAGTAGAAATATTAAACCGGAATTTACAAAATCTCAGGATACATACATAACAAAGAGTTAAGAGGTGAGAAAATAGACAAGTTAGGTCAAGTTAAAAGGACATATTGGAAGTCAAAATGACAATGACGACCAATCACTAAACCAAATAACAAAGGTAATAGTACATCTGTTATGATATCAAAACAAAGTTCACTAACTTGATCATCGTTTGTCAGGCTGGAGTCATTTTTCGTTGTCAAGTTGGCCAATTGGTAAAGATAACAAAGCCAAGTGTAGGTTGTTGGATTTGATCAGTGTGTAAAATTATAAGTGGTATGTGTGTTTACTTAGTGAACTTGTTTATCACATTCGTGTTGATTTTGTCACATCATGGGGGAGGGAGATGTTGTAACCATGTTAAATTCTGTTTTAGTCCATCATTCCTATTCAGACATTTTGGATTCTACTTGATATGAAGTGCTACTGATTTAACACGTTCTTTGTGATTTCAGAAGTTTTCCGGATTATTTCAATATTGTGAAAATAAATTTTCTGGCCTGATTCTATGGCGTGTAGACCACCACCTATGGCTGATGATTTTTCAGGCTTTTCTAGTTCACTAACTTGATTTCTCGGTGGTCGAACAGATGCTCTATCGTGTTCATTTTTTCTGATTTTAATTTCCCTCTAGCGAGTATTGTTCGATGTATATCACATCACATTCCGAGCATTTTGTTTTGAAGACAAAATTAGGTAGAGAATCTTTAGATTAATACTTCAGACACCTTATTATCCTGATGTTCAGTCTCACTATGAAGCTCTTACAATATGTCTGTGGATAGACAAAAGTATGCTATAGGTTCTACGCTGACATATTTGATCAAAAGTTAAATGTTGTCAGCAGATGATGAGAGCCAGCGAAATCTAAAAGATACATAGTTATTCTGCACCATTGTTTATCATCCTTTCTCTGTTCAAATTTGTAAAATCGAGTTCTCGTCTAAAAATCAATAAATTAGAGGTTGGATACTGCCTTTCTGAGGATTCCTTTTTTTGTACCAGATTGCAAAATCACTCAAGACCCTGGAAACCAACCCTTGTAGAAATTTGACTTATCCCTTGTTTTAATAAAACATTTAACTATTCTACTACTATGTACACTTCCTGATCAATATACAGTTTCCTACAATTCCCCTGTAGCATAATCATAGTTATTAGTATTAGCGAATACATAAGAGAAGTTGAATTAGAATAATGCAGTGACGTAATCAGGTGAATGATGTAACGAAAAACGTTGTGATTAGGATGGACACGCAGAGAAAGGAGGGAAAAGGAAAGTATTACGTAAGAGATGGAAAGAATGTTAAGAGGAAAATAACAAACTACAAAAAGACGAATTGGGAAGAAAAATTCTCTTTTTTTTGTATACAGGCATCTCTTTTTTCTCTAACTGAATGGTTAGACCTTGAGTTATGCAAATAAGGTGATAGCAAGAGTTATCTTTGTCAGGTTGTTTCTCGCTATGTGAATTTCTTTGAAGAAGGAATTTATTGAGATAGAGTAGATAGGTTTTTAATGATTGCATCCTATCGTAAAGCCTAAGGCTACTTATCTTTCAGCAGTTATGTGAGATAGTATATTCTTCAAGCTGTTTAGCAAGCATAAGCAACGAACAATAGATATGCCTGTCTTCATAGAAGCAGGTCAACTGACAAATATACATGTAGAATTTGTTAGATATAAGAACTTGTCGCACAATATTTATTGTTTAATGTCACACAAACTAGAAGGCTGGCAGGCAGGCGAAAAGCAACAAGCCTGCTGGCAGAGAAGACAAGACTCCAGGTGGACATATAGAGAAGATGGAGACGGAGGTGATAGAGATGGCTAACCAAATGCAAAAATAAAACACAACCACCACAAGTTACCATCAATAAAGGGGGGGGGGTTTAACAGAAGTAACTGCCTCCATTCACTTATCTCACCGGGAAGCACGGTTTCAAGCACAGGCAGTCGGAATGGCTGAAGATATCAACACCAGACAGTCAGAGTAGGTCGAAAAGGCAAGATAGGCCTGAAAGCAGTTTGCAAATCTTCTGCACTTCTTCATTCAGGCAACCAGCATAAAGAACAAGATTTGGATTCTATTCAACACAAATTTCAAATCAGTCCTTCTATACAGGCAAGAAACTTGGCCAGCGCGCGTCACGAAAAGGACTTCCAACAGCCTGTTGCAGACTTTCATTAAACAGCTGCCTTCGCTCCTTAGTACAGATCAAATTGTGAAAAAGAATTAGTAAGAAGAAACTCTGCAGTGGAACAAATCAACAAGTGACAGCCGACTGCTCAACAGATATGTAGGAGAAAATGAAAATGGATGAGTTGGTCTTACATACGTTGAGGGGGCTGTTGAATGACATCGCGTGTAATACAGGCCATCAATCCAGTGGAATCCGAATGGGAAGCGACGATTGGGTGGTTGGTGCTATGGTGAGTGACATGGAGGAGATGTTGCTGAGGGGGGGAGGATGAGATGACAGACTACAGGAGATCGTGGTTACTTCAAGATGATTTTGAATTTTCTTCCCCAATTCAAGTTATTGGCTGTAGATGATGCTATAGTTTAACTTTGCCTGTAATCGATCAAATTTCGGTTCGAACTTAGCAGCTAAATGGTACAAAGTAACTGTACTCTTCTTGCCTTATCCTCACATGAATCTGTTTAGGTGTACTGAGGAAGGATTCAACATACTAGAAGTAAAATAACACTCTTAGGACTCATAGAATTATTATTTCCACAGATAGACTTAAATACAGCAAGAAGAACAGTGTATTGTGCAGAATAGAATGACCCTATTGTATATAAAGTTGAGTCTTGTCAGTTGCACATACAGAATATTCAAGTACTGCTGTCATCGTCAAAGATTGCAGGAAAATTTATTTTACCACATATAAAAAATATCTCTGAAATAACAGCTAGAATATTAAGACTGCTTGAAATAGATATAGCACACAAGCCAGCCAGCCAGCCAGCCAGCCCTTCAGTCGATATTGTAGAAACTAAAACATCCAACAGAAAACGAATATAAAATTAATACCATTTATAAAATAAACTCTATGAAGTTCAATACACATTATATCGGTAGGTCATAGTGGTTATCCCCTACGAATCCGAGTCCGAGAACACAAATTAGCTGCAAAAAGACATGATGTATATATTCCTACGTATCAATGCATACAGATAATTATGGACACCGATTTGATGATTGCGAGAGTGTCGAAAATTTAAACAGAGGGAACTCCAGACAGCAATGCAGTCAGGGAATTCCTCGAAGCCTAGTTGGTACTCAGGTGGATCTACCAGCGATTAACAAACATATTAATATTAATATAGGCCGAATTTACTAACTATTAAAAAGTAAATCATTACATGACACGAAAATTCGAAATCCAAGATTCTGGATTAATCTCCATGAATTTTATCATCAATAACTATTATACATTGATATTAAGCTTTTCACCTTTGTACTGAGCTGAAAGAACTCATCTGCAGTGCTACTTAGCTTTCAATGCTCCTTCTACCGCCTCAATATCAATCACTTACTGAATAGCTTCCCGATGAACTTCGAAATCTG